GAAGAAAATAGTCAAATATTCATTTGACAATTTCACATTCCACAGCTTTCCGCAGTAATATTTTTATTGTTAATAAATGATTTTTAATTGTTAATTTGGAATGATTAAATTTATCATTCCAAAAGAATGATAAAGAATCATTCATTTAGAATGGTTAAATTTATCATCCAAACGAATGATAAGAAAATCGTTTGATTGAAATGATTAAATTATTATTTCAAACGAACGATAAAAGAATCGGTCATTTGGAATGATTTAATTATCGTTCTAAATGAATGATAAAAGAATCATTTATTTGGAATGATAAAAGAATTGTTCGATTGGAATGATTTAATTATCATTCCAAAAAAAAGATAAAAAATCGTTCAATTGAAACAATTAAATTATCATTCCAAAAGCACGATAAAAAATCGTTCAATTGGAATGATTGAATTATCATTCCAAACGAACAATAAAAGAATCATTCGATTGGAATGATTGAAATATCATTTCAAAAGAATGATAAAAATCGTTCAATTGGAACGATTAAATTATTGTTCCAAACGAACGATAAAAAAATCGTTCATTTAGAACGATTGAATTATCGTTTCAAATGAACGATAAAAGAATCGTTCATTTGGAATGATTAAATCATCATTTCAAATGAACGATAAGAATATCGTTCCAAAAGTATGATAAGAATATCGTTCAATAGGAACGATTAAATTATCATTCCAAACAAACGATAAAAGAATTGTTCATTTGGAATGATTAAATCATCGTTTTAAATGAACGATAAGAATATCGTTCGATTGGAATGATTTAATTATCATTTCAAAAGAATGATAAAAATTGTTCGATTGGAACGATTAAATTATCATTCCAAACGAACGATAAAAAATCGTTTGACTGGAATGATTAAATCATCGTTCTAAACGAATAATAAGAATATCATTCGATTGGAACAATTTAATTATCATTCTAAAAGAATAATAAAAAATCGTTCAATTGGAACGATTAAATTATCATTCCAAACGAATGATAAAAGAATCGTTTGATTGGAACGATTAAATTATCATTCCAAACGAACGATAAAAGAATTGTTCATTTGGAACGATTAAATCATCATTCCAAACAAACGATAAAAATATCTTTCAATTGGAACGATTAAATTATTATTCTAAAAGAATGATAAAAAATCATTCAATTGGAACGATTAAATTATCATTCCAAATGAACGATAAAAGAATTGTTCGATTAGAACGATTGGATTATTGTTCCAAATGAATGATAAGAAAATTGTTCAATTGAAACAATTAAATTATCGTTCTAAACAAACGATAAAAAAATTGTTCATTTGAAACGATCTGAAATTTCAGATTAATCTGAAATTTTCAGTTTAGTTCAGATTTTTTTTGGTTCGGATTAGATTTATAATCTGAAAAAAATCTGAACTGAACTGAAAATTTTCAGATTGAATTTTTTGCAATCCAAAACCGAACCGAAGTTAATCTGAACTGAAAATTTTCAGATTAATCTGAACCGTTCAGAGCTTTAAATAATTTATATAAATTCAGATCATATGCAATATCTGTAAATAAATTATTAATCTCATTATATCTTATATCTAATCCACTATTAAGTAAATATCTTATAATATTATCTGCTTTGTAAGATCTTTTAAAATATCTTTCTTGTTGGTATATAAAACAACTCTTTATATAATCTATATATTGCTTTTTTTAATAAAACAGAAGTATTAATCAAAGTTCCAAAGTTAATTGTAATTTTAGGTAAATAATGAAAAGTATAAAGATTTGGCAAATTTGAAAATGATTTATTGAAAATCTATTAAACAAATAAATCAATATATTTTATTACTTTTATTACAAATCATAATCTAAGAAATTATAAAGTAAATTAATTATAAATAATTATTGTAAAATATAAAATAATTAATTTTTACCTTTAATAATATTTAATAACTTATTCAAAAACTTTTTACAAAAAAATATAATCATCATATTCATCAATTACAATATATAATGATTTGAATACAGCTGCATAAGCCTTAGTCATTTTACCTAGTAATTTATAATAATACTTAAAACTTATGTTCAGTTACCTAAAGAATATTTATTTTTTATTCTATTAATAGTTTTAATCTTATAATATTTTATAATTAATATTACAAGTTAAGATATAAGGTATTATAATAGTAAGACATAATGAATTATTCATCCAATAACTATCTCAATGAGTGATTAGATTTTGTAATCTATTTCAAGTAGATGGTATCTTAAATGATTGCCAGATTTTTATAAATACACTATATCCTTTATCATTTATTGATTTAAAAGTTTCATCAAAAAGATGATATACTAAACTTTGCTAAACGATGATAAAAATCTTATGATACTTATATATGTCGATTACAGATAAGATGATCAAGAACATTTTTTTTTAGAACAAAGTCATATTTTTTTACTACATTCTCTTTAGCCAATTTTGTAGATACTTACTTAATTTCTTAAAATTGAAGATCCATTACAGTTAACTCTTGTTATAACGAACTCTATGTCCTAGACCTCAACTTCGCTATAAGGCTATAGTGAAGATTTTAAGAGATTTAATTGGCCAATTCGCTATAACAAGAGTATTTTTATTATATTTGTTTAAAAAATTCGTTATATCAAGAGTTCGCTATATCAAGAGTTGACTGTATATGATAATATCTAGCATTTATTTAAATATCAAAATGAAGATCATTAAGGTTTTCTTGATTACTTCATATGAATGATATTCATGATTTATATTGTATCTTTGAATCCCTGTCAGATTATTATCTTGTGACAAATCAGCTGTACACATTTCTAAACTTTTAGAAATAAACATCTTTTCATTATAATAATTGGTCATAATAATTCCTTTTTGTAATTTCTGCATTTGAGAAATTAAAGGTTTAATGAAATCCTAAAATTTGCACTAAATGAAACCAGACTAATTAAAAAATAATTTTTAAAATATTACATTAAAAGTGATATATTTTCTAATGCATATAAAGTCTACTAAGTTTGTGATATACCTTACTAAAAGCACTAAAATTGTCATAATATAAATCTATAAAAAATTTTTGATGACGAAGACCTAGTAGCTTTTGAAATTATACTAAGATAGTAATTGATATCATTAATGTATTTTTCTTATTTATAATCAATTATTATATATATATAGAATCTCTTTAATTCGATAATCATAATTTATAAGTTCTAGCAAATCTTTGAATCAAATTTTGATATGACAAATAACATTATTTATGTAGATCATTTTTCAGTCTTCAGTTAACCAAACAGTATTATCTTTTGATTGAATTAGATGATCAAATGATTTAATATTATTTGAAAGATTAGTATACTTCACAATCTTTTGAATATATAATTACCTCTCTTTACTATTTTCTTTTAGTACTAGGCATTAAGTTTCTTCCTTAATATTATAAAGTATAAAGTATCTAGCTTGATAAAATACTAAAAAAATATTATTAAATAAATCTAAAAAAAAATAAAAATTTAAAAAATTATCATTATAATACTATTACCATTTCCAATTTTATATGATGTTTCACCAAATAGTAATGATTCTTTCCATATTTGTCTGTGTCATAATTCTAATCTTTCTGAAGTTTTAACACCAGAATCAAAGTATAAATTTGAATAAATCAATGAATTTTTAAGAATATGTTGAATATGATTGATAATAGAAAATGTTTAGCCTTCTTTATAAGAAGTAAAGGTTGATTGAGTATCTATGAAATTAATATTAATATTATTGCTATTTAAAACCATTAATGGATGATCACGTTGTATTTGTTTTAATGTTGTAATACTAAGAGGAAGAACTGATGTATGAAAATCTGGAAGTTATAATATCTTCACTAAATCTTGATAAGCATCAGATCCTATTAATTAACATTTAAATTATTTAAAATTATTAGTTAATTAATAATAATAAAATAAAATAAAATATTTATTATTAATAATACCTATCATATATTTTGTATACTAAATAAATATTAACATTACGGATTTATTTGGAAAGTATGGCTTAGCTTCATTATAATAAGATTGTAAATTTTGAAGTCCATCATAATGATTTTTAAATGTAAAAGATATATCTTCTTCAATGTTATCGTTATTATTTTCATATTCATTTAATATATCATTATCACTATTATATTCATCACTATCTTCGCATTCATCTGATTCTTGAAAATAATTTTCTTGATCATTATCGCTAGCTTCACTATTATTTCATAATCATTTAATAAATTTTCATATTGAATATTATTATATGATGAAATATTTGGTGTATTAATATCTTGAATGTCATGCGATAAAAATTCGTATGTATCATTAGTTTGAGAAGTTAAACTAATATCAGAAAATTTAACAGAGTTATATAAATTACTAAGAGGTTGTCGAATATTTTTTCGAATATTAGCAATTTTCCAATATTAGGACGTATTGCTTGTCGCAAATTTGCATTTTTAGTTCTTTTATGCTTAATTTTAACTATGTTAAAATAATTATTAAAATAAAATTAAAAAGTAAAAAAAAATATTTATTTATAAATGGAATTTAGTTAAACTTTTTTTTTTTAAATAATGTGGCACTGCCAGTCACAATCTTTTTTAGACTTCAATATTTTTTATTTTTGAATATTAATCTTTTATGTAAATACAATAGTTTTATAGAAGCATAATTTCGATCAGCAACATATTATTAATAATTATTTCATATTTAATACATAAATAACTCTTCTAAAAATTAATTTAAAAATGCCTCCAAGAAAAAAAACAAGTATCAACATCTGAGACAGCTAATACAGTACCTAAAAAACTGGTACGCGATTCATATCTGTGATTTGTGTGAAGAAATGAAGGTTTTATTTATGCGAAACCGAAGTCCTGGCTCAGCTGCAGTTTTTGCCTGAACAAGGAAAAACAACGAAAATATCAAATTCCTAAAAGATCGTGGCTTAGAGTATTTAGCGCAACATCGTTCACATTTTAATAAGGATCTTACCGATTATGCAGTAGAATATATTAAAATTAATAAGTAAATTTTTATTATAATTATTATAATAATTTAACAAATTTTAAATATTATTTCAAAGTATTACTATTGATACAATGCCAAGTGAAGATGAAATAACATCCTACATTACTGATAACTTTGTTAATGAAATTTTTTTACGCAATTGGCTGTTGTTATGGATGATTTTTTAGCAATACAACCATCCTTAACCCCTTAAAATTATTTTTAAAGAAAGCATTTATGTTACAATTGGAATTTGAAGTCGCACGTTCAAAAAATCCTAAAATGGACTATCATTATGTGTTAGAACAAGTGAAAGAATTAGATAATATAACTAAAAATTTGGTTATTCCAAATTTAACGCAAAGGAATGCTGCAAATCAAATCAATACATCGGGATTAACCACAATCTCAAGAAGTCGCAGATCATGCAGATAAAGAAGCTATTTATGGTAACAGTAGCATAATTTGATATTAATTGTAATAGCGCAAATGCTTATAATATATAAATGATATCACGTTATTTATGGAATTACAATTTGCAGTTTTTCAAATATTATATTGATTTTAATAACACAATGCTCATATGCATAGAACATGATATTTGATTCAAAAGTATTGTGATAATCTTAATAACATCCATATCAATATTAATTATGCAATATTTAAAACAACCATTTATTTAATTGGATCTAGACAAATAATTGTGTAATGCTTAATGCTAATTATTTTGCAATGGATTATAACATTAATTCTGTAATTTCATTCGCTAAATAGCTTATTAACATTCATATGCATGTATAATAATATGTATATAACATGGATAGTTTATGTATGTCTATGTTAACATCCTATTTATATTTATGATATAAAAGTTGTATAATATGTCAAGAAAATATATATTGATAGCAAAGTATTTTACATCATGTAATGTAGTTTAACTTGTTATAATAGATGGTCAGCTCAAGGTTGAACTTTATTGTCAAATTTTAAGTGAAGCCAATATGGAGTGGAGTCTTTGTAGTATTATGATATTATCTTTATGTAAAATAATGATCCCAAGCATATCTTATCTTACTAAGAAGTGGTTTTGAAGATGATAATGTAGAAAATTTACCTATGCTACCACACCACAATCTCCTGATTGATCCGATTAAAAAAATCATTGCGATAAAAAATTTTTAATATTGAATTAAGCACGTGATTGCGTTTTTTTTGTAGTGAAAAAAAATTAATAAAAATTTGATTTTACTTTCCAAATTTATTGCAACAATAACGGAACCTTTATATAGGCTATATTAAATTATTTTTTGATAAATTCAATTAAAAATTAATTAACTTTACATAAGCATATTAATCTTGAATATAATTATTAACGCGTTTATTTTATCGAATATAATATAAATTTTTTAAGTTATTTATAATTAAAGAACAAAGAAAAAAAATTTGGTTAAAATGTTTTTATTTGATATTTAAATTTAATAAGTTTATAATATAAAACAATATATATAAAAAAAATGTTCTTGTTTAAAAATCAACTAAATTCTCTTAAATTCAGTTTCATATTTTTTCCAGTTGGCGGTTAATTTACCTTACCTATCGTCAAGATTACAAAATTAAACTTTATTAAATTTATTGATAATGAAATAAAGAATAAAGACATACCTTGATTTTAGAGTTAACATATACGTATGCTGCATAAATATGACATATTAATAGGGATCTCGGAAAATTTTCTAACGATTCATCTGAAATTTCGTCTGGCCACAAATTAAGTCCTTCAATCGTTATGTAACAACTTAATGGATGTTGGTCCTGATCAAAATTCTTTAAAAATCTTAGCACGAATCTTTTTAATGCAAGAACAAATGCTTCCGCTGGTATGCGTTCTTTAGTCGTCGAAGTACGTTCAAAATCAACTGTCGAATCAATTTCTTTCATCATTTTGTTTGTAAGTTCAATATTAAATTTTCCATCCATATATCTTATCACGTGATTTGCAATTTGTTCTTCGATCAATTCATAAAGATTTACTAAATGCTTGAGACATAATCCAATGTCTGATAAATATTTGAATTTGTTTGTTAATACGGATAATTTCATCCATTGATTGACATAATCAAGAATTTTTGTCTCTTCGTTTCCAACCGATGTACGTTTTACGAAACAAAGCAAAATTTCTAATGAAGATAGAAGTTCAGATGCGTTTTCATAAGATAATGAATTATTATGATATTCACTGTATGTAGCGCTAGTTGGTACCACGCCTATAATTAAAGGAATCTTGTCAGATGGAATTTTCTGTTGATGAATTAAAGATTTGATATCCTCAAGAATTCTCGTATGTTCTTTGAATAATTCCATGTGATATGTGAAAGGTTCCATGTATGCCTGAGAGTCATTCAAAGTGCTAATATGAACTTTT